GTGTGTGTGTGTGTGTGTGTGTGTGTGTGTGTGTGTGTGTGTGTGTGTGTGTGTGTGTGGACGTGGTGGGTGGCGGGGAGGTGGGGCGACTCCTCCCCCACCACCAATCAATCAATCAATCAATCAATCAATCAATCAATCAGTCAAACCCCTTTTTTTTTCTAATTTTGTATCTACATTTTTTCAAAACACCTTATACTTCTGCAAAAAACATAAATTCATTTCTAAAAAAATATAGGTAAACTCACGGACCATATATCTCATGATAAAAAATGACCAAAAAAAAATTCTGTTTTTCTTTATTTATTTATTTTTTAATTTTCTTTAAATCCAATTTCATTTTTTATTTTTAAAAATCCTAAACAAAGTCGGATTCAAAAAATAAAAATATGGGGTTGTAGGGCTTAAAATTCCCTACAACCTCGTATTTTTATTTTTTTTTTACCTATTATTTAATTCAAGAAAATTCGTGTAAAATCGGGTCCACGGTGCAGACCAGTTAGGCCGCGGATGCGGATCCATTTGGGTCCGCGATCCAAGCTCGACCCCGCGCACGCGTCCCCGGGTGTTACATAGCGTTGTACCCGCTGAATAGCCCTCGGGGCCCCGTTGAATCCTTGTTGCATAGTACGACGGACCCTACCCGTTGAATATTGTTCAACGGGGAGGGCGCATTGGGACTCGGACACGTCGCTCGATGCGCGTGGAGGGAAAAAAAAAATCATCACGTTGCATTTTGTTGAATCCCGTTGAATCCCCGTTGAATCCCCGTTAAATCTCCATAATATTTTTTTTATTTTTTTTCCCCTTTCTAACCACAAAGTCCAGGGTTCTGGTCCCGCCTACCGTTGTTGAGTTTAGAAAACTCAACGGTGTGACGCCATTTCGACATTAATAAATTAGAAACAAAAAATTTAAAAAAAAAAAAAAACGCTAGAAATAATTTTTCTCCTTATTTTTGATAACGTAACTCGGAGAAATGACACACGTCTGGAACAATCGGATTGAATGTCTCTGTGGAGAGAGAGAGAGAGAGAGAGAGAGAGAGAGATAACGTTCAAATCATAATGAATCTTCCGTGATAACGTGGAACATTCATTCTGATTTGAACGTTGGGAGAGAGAGAGAGAGAAAGAGGGCGTTAACCAGTGTCTGACGTCGAGTTTGGTGGACCAAACTTGGCGTCAGACACTGGCTGACGCCCTCTCTCTCTCTCTCTCTCTCTCTCTCTCTCTCTCTCTCTCTCTCACGAGAATGAATCTTCCTCTTTATTGAGGAAGATTCATTCTCGTTGCGCATGTATGATTTCAACTGTTTTTTTTTTGCAGAAAGTGGCATGTTTTTTTTTGTCTTTTTTTTTTTGTACTACCGGTTTTCTGAGGCTCAGCAATAAAGTCTGAGGCTCGGGAATGATCGGGCTACCGGTAGTCCGAGCCTCAAACTTGATAGTTGGGCGAGTTACTAGTGGTTTAAGGAGAGGAGGGAAACCAATATCTCCTTAGTTTTTCGGGTAATACATGTAAAAAATAAAATAAAAAAAAATCGATGTGTTTTGAGTCTGGTTTGGTCTTTGATTTTTTTTCAAATAATTTAAATGCTGAAAAAATAAAAATAAAAAGATGGGGATGTAGAGCGCAAAACAATCTACACCCCCATATTTTTTATTTTTTTTTCCGATTATTTTTGCCTGCGAAAAAAATGTTCGCGGGTCGAGTTCAACCCCGTTCTTACGCGGTTTAGCGCGGAGTTGTAACGGGGGTTCAAGGGGGAAACTCCCGTTGAATCAAATTTCGGACACATAGATCGCGTCGATGTTAACAACACCAAAAACACAGAAGCAAAATCAATGCGACGCACCACAATTTTGTCCCACACCAGAGATGACAAAATTGTTTAATGTGGCTTGGTGATTACAAGCTTTACAAACTCATCGCGAAACAACGTCAAAAGATCGACCCTTCGTTGCGAAATCCGAAAACACAGACACTAACATGCCTGCGGGTAAAAAAAATCCCCCGTTCGTGCTTTCCCCAACATGTACCGTTCGAGCTACCCCGAAAAGGATGGGGAAAAAAACATAAGAAAAAATAAATTACCAGAAACTAACTTAACAATGACATAATTTGGGCCACCTTGCCGAGCACATTCACACCGGCGACCACTGCCGCACTCGCAAGAAAAACTAATTGGAGAACAAAGGTCGCTCTCACAAAGTGATGGTGGGCGAGAGCACGGCCTCTGCCAGTGGTGGTATCGTCGCCACGTGAACGACGTCATCATGGATCAACTGCCGTGTCATCATTGTCGTCATCATCATCGTGATTATGGCGGTTAGCTTCACCATCGTTCTTGCGATGAACATCATCATCATCGTCATCATCACCATCATCATCATCATCACCATCGTCGTGTTCGTCATCATCATCATCATCATCATCATCGTCATCATCATCATCATCATCATCAACGGCATCATCATCATCATCATCACCATCATTATCATGACCATCAGCATCCTCGTCATGATCATCATCATCATCATCATCATCATCATCACCATCATCATCATCATCATCATCATCATCATCATCATCATCATCAACGTCGGCGGCATCATCGTTTGTGTTTCATCCCCGCGGACGTACGCCTTCATCATCGTCGTCGCCATCATGCCATGTCGTGCACCAGACTGCATCTCGACCGTCCTCGCCTTTCCCAGATCATGGGAATATCGTCTTTGTCGGATGCCCGCCTCTGTCGCCACAGCTCGCAGAACCACTCTCCGCATGGCGGCATCATCAGGAGCTGCTTTTCTTCGGCATCGTCGACGTTTCCAAGTTCGAAGCAGCAGCATCGTCATCACGGCGTCATCATGACTGTCGTCCACGCAAATAACTTCATGCCACGAATGTCGGCATATGCAGCGTGGACGGCTGATCAACCGCACCGATTTCCCTACCCGACTCATCTTGTGGACACGCCATCAGCGTACGGTCTACTAGCGTGCTCATCATAAAAAAAAATCATCAAGGAAATAAGAGAAACAAAGAATGCGAACTACAAATGCAAGGAGTGAACTTCAATCAACACTCGATCCAACGGCCTACATCGTTGACCGACCACGGGTAGCGGCAGCGATCTCCATAAGCGCGTCCTCTGTGTTTCATCGGACGCCTCATAGTGCGCTTTTTGAACAGCAACTTCTTGCTCGAGTATGTCGGATTACCTCGTCAAAATGCTGCATTGTCGCTTGCTAGAGGAATCGATCGTCGACAACAACAGTTCGCCATGGCGGTCCATGACATCAGTGATCGACTCCAACGCCTTTTGACGTGCATTCTTCCGCTTCCCGCCTGCACCCCCACTACATGCGTTGTTGTCGAAGTCTCTCAACGAAGAACGTTCTTCAGGCCCTGGGCAACCATCACCGCCGGCCTCACTACCAACAGACTCCCCACCATCCCCTCCTCGCCTGGGCAGCTGCACCCCATCCGGACTGCCGGTGTCGGCGACGTTGGGAGGGAAAATTGTGTGGTTTCCCAACATGCCTCCATGGATCTCGTTGTACAACTGTTACACCCTGTCCATCCGGAACTTGGAGTTGTTCTCCTTCCTTTCTTCATTTGACAGCCTGAAAAAGTCTGCCCCGCCGCTGGCATTCTGAAACCTTTGTATCTTCTTGTGGTTTTCGAACAGATTGTCCCACTTCTTCATGCAGTCGTCGGCGTCTCTAGGCCTCCTCGCCTTCACCATCCGCTTGGCGATGTCATCCCACTTCCACTCCTTCGTCCGCATCCGCCTGTAATTGTGACCCAGCCCAGCGAGGTGCATATCTTGCTCCCGCTTGCATCTCACCAGGGGCAGGTGGTCTTTCGTAGACCAGTACGTCGCAGACTTCCCACCGTAGTCGCTTACGCCTCCTCTGCCTCCACGGCCAACGGATCGACCACGAACAGCACCCTTACTGCGTCCTTTGCCCATCCCAATCGTCTTCCCCAAAGACCGAGTATGAATGTCATCGTTGACATCCCATGAATGTCGTGACGGTCCTCCCTGAAGCCTTCTTCAGCATCGTCACCGCCACCGGCGTCGTCGTCGCCGCTATCGTTGTGTGCCCGCATGTTGGACACTCCTCGTGTGATGTTTTCCACAGTGGGTCCTGGACGCACCGGTGATCTACAATCGGGCTCGTCCCTCACGTCGGGTTGGGTCGACATTGTATGGCTCGACATTGGCGACCGTCCACCGCTGATGCGCGCGGACCCTGAGGCAACTCCACTGCGTGCGGGGCAGGTACTTGTCATTCGTTCGGCGGGTGGCGCAGTCCATCCGTGTTGTCAGGCTGGTAGTGACGGCCCGACACCTCCTGTCACGGACGCACCACCACAAAGTGTGGACTGCTCGGTATGCTGACTTCTAGCACGTTGAAGGTCACGTAGCGAAGGATCGGCTTCGATGATGAACGTACGGGTCGCCTCCCTCGCATTGCCGAAAGACAACCCCAACCTCAAATCGACTCCCCCGTCGTCGTCGTCTCCCAAGCCTTGCTGCAAGAGGGAGATGAACTCGCCATCTTCGTTGCTAGCCGACCAGCGTGCTTGCACCGTCTGTGACAGCATCTCCGTCGAGATGCTACCGAGAGGCAACGTTGGAAGTTTTTTTGTCTCCGCCTCCTTGTCTGACGAGGGCAGTGGCGTCTCCCACGACTCTAGATGGTTGTACAAGGACAGGTCGTACTGTCGTCCCGGCACCGCCGATGCAGGTCCTCTTCCGCCTTGACCTGCGGCCAGTTCTGCTCGTGCCTGCATGCTCGCCATCGGACGTTCCCCTGTCACCCGTTTCGTTGACGCCCTCCGCTTGCGACGTTGCTTCCACAGCCATCACGACAAACACACGTGGAGGAAGACGACAATCAGGAAGACGACGACAGCGAGTACCAACAGAGGCAATCTCCTCTGCGCGTCTGCCATCAATTTCACGTCGGAAGGCACCCGTCCACACGACTATTGCAGAAGTGTCTTCCCACATGCCGGTGGATAGGGCCACTGAACTTTCATATGTCGACAACCACAAGAGAAAACGACAGAAGCGGACGCCCTCGATTCAAAAATTGACCGTTGGCGCCCACGCACTGCCCGAAGCTCCTCGGTATGTCGTCCTGCGCACGTCGTCGTCCTCCTCCGCTTCCCGCAACCCAGCCAACAGTCTACTAGGGACGCCCGCCCGCCCCTGCTCGGCCCCCGTGCTCCACCACCGCCAACGGCTACCGTTCGTGGCCGTTGTCCGCGTCGACCCACAAAAAACCTCCAATGTCCGACCACGGACCCGACGGACCGCTTTTGCACCAGCAACTCTGTGTCGACGGTGCCATGCACGCAACGCAACGAGTTCGTAAAACGCGGGAATCCTAAATCTTTCAGTAGGTCGGGGGCCACTGGAAAATTTAGGACGACTTTGCCTGGGGAATCTTAAATCCTTCAGGACTCGTCCTAAAGCCGTTTTCACATTTTTAATCTCAAAATTGGATTTTGGATTGCGTGCAACCAAGACGCAACCCTGAAAACAGACACTTTCTTAGGAGTGTCTAACGAAACCCTTAAATTTGTACTTTCTGAGCAAGATTCCTAATCTGAAATTCGGAAATCAAAGTTTTGCTCTGATCTCCAAAAACGATTACTCAATTTTGAATTACAAAGGGTTACAAATTGATTTTCTCAAAGTGGAATTGATGTCCTACATTTATCCATCTTTGATCTAATTCTAAATTTGATGTAGTTTTTCACATCTTTGACCTAAATTTAAATCTAATGTAGTTTTTCCAAAGATGTAGTTCAAATTTGCTAGGATGTGGTCTTGCAAACGAAAGGGGGAAGGTCGAAGTGGGGAGGTTCGCTCAGAGGAGGGATCGGCAGTTCAGGGTGGTAAGTCTATTATCACAAGGGTGGGGTGGGACGGCATTCGCCGATGTTGGAGCATTCGCTCTGTGACCATGGGGAGCTTGAGGCCATTGAAGTTATGCCGAGGGTGAAAGGCATAACCATCTCGCCCGACGTAGCTGTTGCCGGGGCGGTGACCCTGAAAGGCTGTAACCATTCAAGGGGTCATACAGTTCAGGGAGTTGTCGAGGCGGATGACACTCTCTCTCCGTCAGAAACATTTAGATCGGTACTGGGGCAGTTTGTGTTGCCTTGTAACCCTAAGGGGGGGGTATGAGATCTAATGATTTATGGTACGAGGATTGAAAGCTTGGGCAGCGTGTCCTTCATCTGTGGTGAGGGAAGGAGACAGATTGTTAGTGGTTTTAGTTCTTGTCCTTTTTCATTTTGTCTTTCTTAAATGGGAAGGTGGAAGTCGGAAGTCTGGTTTGGAGGAATTTAGGATGGGCTTGTGCAGTAGAGGAAGGGTTGCTCAAGGTGGTAAGTCTACTAGAAGGGCGGGGTGGGGCGACATTGGCCGGTGCTAGAGCAGTGGCTCTGTGACCAAGAGGAGCTTGAGGTCATTGGAGTTATGCCGAGGGTGGAAGGCATAACCACCTCTTTCAACGTATTTGATGCTGCGGTGGTGACCCTGTAACCCGGTAGGAGGTTTGCAGCTAAGGAAGTAGTCAAGGGAGAAAGATACTTTCTGTACGTCAGAAAACAGTTAGTTCGGTGCTGAGACAGTTTGCGTTGCCTTAGGAACCTTAGCGAAGGGGGTGTGAGAACTGGCGATTTCTGGTACGAGGACTGAAAGCCTGAGCGGCGGTTTCTCGTCTGTAGCGCAGGTTGTTGGTGGCTCTACTTCTGAGTTTCGTCTCTCTGTTCTTCATATTTTTTTATGTTCTAAAGTGGGATTGAATTTTCTGATAAAAAAAAAAATCTTTGTAAGCTGGCGCTGGTGGCAGGGGGCCGGGGTTGCGATGGTGGGGGATACTACGCTCTGCGGTCATGGGGTTAACCTGCAAGATGGAAATAGGGTACAGCAGCGGTGAAGATGGTGGTTTCATCGCAATAAGATTTGTCGGAGTAGGGTTGTAAGGGATTTTATGTGGGATATCTGCAACCAGCGCCCGAAGGAGCTGAGTGATCGGATTTACAGTTATGGTGTTGATTGGTGGCTTGTCTCAGTTGTCTGGTATTTGTTGTAGTCTTATGTCCCTGTGGACTTGCGAATGGACGAGGTCGGAGCGACGCTGGTCGATGTTGGGACTTTGTCGCGTTGCCCGGTAACTCAAGTTGTACGAGGGCAAGAGACGTGGGGAGTTGTCGAGGGTGAAAGGCACTCTAGTGTCCTTTGGTAAGCTGGTACTTGGACGATGCTGGTCGGAGCCGAGGGTGGGTCATTTTTCCCTGTAGCCTAGCAGGTGGGAGTTTTCTGGGGTGGGTCGTGCCACTCTGTAAACTAGCAGTTGGGGGCATGAGGCCTAGTAGAGACTAAGTATCTGAATATAGGGATGAGGCAGGAACAGGTGGGCTATTCAAAAACTCTAAGCCAGTTATTTCTCGATCTGAATGCTCTTCTAAAAATAAAAGAGCCCTCTGCATGGAGAAGTAGATGGTTGAATATCAAGCGTCTTAGTAGTGAGGGAAGCCCTAGCTAAGAGAATGATCCCTGTGATAGAAGACATCATTCATCCCTCTCAAAACGGTTTTATTGAGAACAGGAATATACAAGAGAATATTATGCTAATCCATGAGGTACTCCAGCTCACAAGACACTCCCACCAAAACGCAGCGTTGGTCTTTATCGATTTCGAAAAAGCTTACGACCATCTGGACTGGTTGTTCTTAGATAAATGTCTGGAAAAGATGAATTTCAGGTCAAACTTCAGACGTTGGGTTCAGATCCTGCACCAGAATGCAACCACCTGCATTCAAGTCAATGGATGCATGGCACCACCTTTATGCCTGGAACGCTCGTTCCGCCAAGGGGACCCAATTGCCCCCTTTCTCTTTTTAGTCATCATGGAAGCACTAGCTGCTAACCTCCGAGCAAACAAAAATATCACCAGAATATGAATCACACATATCCCGGAGGAGGCAATCCCGATGTGCTCCCTCTTTGCGGATGATCTCACAGTTTCGGCAAAGGTCACTCACAACACCATGAAGGAAATTCAGCAAATTATGAAAAAGTTTGTCAAAGTTTCCGACATGACAGTCAGCTGGGGAGCAAAACTCAAGGATGGTGGATTCACTACCAAGGGGGACGCCCCCCAGAGTCACCATGTATTAAGTCGATGCCATTAGAGGCCCCAATAAGAATTTTAGGGGTATCCATGACCACTCAAAGACGCCCACCAATCAACGACGAATGGATTATCGCCCCGGCACAACAAAAACTAGATAACTGAAGAAATAAACACAATGTCATTCTTTTTTGGTCGCGCTTTAGTAATTAACAACGTGATCTTCACAACATTATGGTACAAATCGCTATTGTGGCCACTAAGTAAAACAGCCTTAAGAAGCTTAAAGAGAAAGGCAACAACCTTTTTCTGGAGAGGAGACGGTGAGCAAAACAACGTGTCATCCGCGTGGCGTGGGATTCAGTTATCCAAGCTAAAGCGGGGGAAGGCTTGGGAATAATGTACCCAGCCACGCAAGTGCAAGCACTACGACTAAAATGGATTAAAAAGCTCATTTTCGGCCCCCAGTGTCCGTGGTGCACATTGGCTCTTGAACATCTGGCCCGACTGGCCCCGGAGGCTCCCCAAACAATGATCCACTCACTGATATGACTCGAGGACCGGTTCTGGATAATCCCACATAAGCTCCCCCGAGGAATGGAGGGGTGGATGGAGGCGACCAGATTCCGGATAACTTCTGGTCATCCTTGCTGGAAACCATCCGCAGACTTCCCCTCCCAGATACATTCCACCCTAACGGCTGGAAAAAAATCTATCGGCAACCTCTTTTTGGAAACCGATGGGTGACAAATTTGAATGGTTGTGTCATGATAAGGTCAGGGTTGGGGATCTCTGAGACATTGATAGAAGGGATTGGAAATTAGAAGACCAGATGCAAGGAATCCTACGATACTGCCACCACGTAGAGGATCATCTGAAAAACTGATTGAAGCTATCCCCCTGACACGGTACCAAATCCTTAAACGAGGTCCCTCCTTAAGGGAAGGTGACTGGGTAGCAAGCACAGAGTCTCCACAAAGGATAGGTCTGATACATATGGCCTCATCCTAGATTATCATAATTGAACACTATGCAATCACTAGAACACACACCCTCCAAGGTAGTAGAGCCCCTTTTGAATGGAAAGAGAAAGCATCTGTGTACCGGTTGAGAGTCTTAGAAGAGAAAGGACAGAGGGTGGTATTCCAGTCTTTCAAACCGATCCAAGATCTGGCCCTGGACCCAGCGGAATGGACATGGGAACCCTCTCAAAGGAGGGGAGGCCCTAAAGGGGGTTGTATCAGCCTCCACCAGTTGTCGGCCAAATCAGCCTATAAAATGCTCAGACCTAAAAGACGGCTGACAAACATAGTAAATGACCGATGGGTCAAACGCCTAAACGTGGATCGCTCTCTTTTATCTCCAATTAAACGGTTTCAAGCCTAGATCGTTGGATCGGACGTCCAGGACCCCCCTGACCGTCCGAGATGTCCGACCGAACGTCTGGTCGGACGTCCAACCGGACAGGGGTTATCAACCTAGCGCAACAAAAAAAAAAAGAAAAAAAAAAAAAAA